AGAATGGGACCAAACCACATGATTACAGACCCTTTGTGTGTGTGTGTGTGTGTGTGTGTGTGTGTGTGTGTGTGTGTGAGAGAGAGAGAGAGAGAGAGAGAGAGAGAGAGAGAGAGAGAGAGAGAGAGAGGAGATTGGTGTTTAAATAGCTTTGGACATAAGTAATAATTTTGGGTTAAATGAAATTAAGCAGGCTTCTTTCCAGCAAGACTCCTCAGAGCTTTTAGCATGCTAGGCCTGGGGCGAATCTCCAAGGGAAGGGGTGTATATAAAATTCACTGTTTCCCAATAGTTTGATCCTAGGACTCTTCCTTTTCATGGAGCATTTTACAGGCTTCCTGTTCTGCAAGAATCCCGGCAAGTGCTGCCCCTGGCAGCAGCAGGACTTGCCCACTTCTCCATCCCTCCCCTCCCCTCCCCTGCAGCATCTCTCCTTGTCACTACTGTCGTCCTCCCTGCCTTTGTCTTCTCTTCTCTCCTGTCCCTGTGCGGACCCCACTGTGCCCGGCTCTCCTCCCCTCTCCTGCTCACCCTCCTCACGCTTTTCCTCTCCCTCTCCACTGGGCTTCTCTCTGACCAGATGCCCCAGGGGCGAGTCCTGCTTGGTCATCGGTGCCATTCCTGGAGAGTAGAGCCCGCCATGGGCCGGCCTGCTGGTCCCCGGAGCAGCGTTCCCGTTAGAGTGATGGGCTTTCACACCACCTCAGCCTCCTTAAGGAAAGCTCCTTTGTTCTAGATTCAGACAAAGCAGCACAGTCGGCCTTAAAAGAAAAAAAAAAAAAAAAGCTGTTTCATTTTATATTGGAAAAATACAACATGACATCTGGAGAATAAATTGTTCAGTCAGCCAGAAATACGCCTTGTAAAAATTGCTTAGGTTTCTGTAACAAGATTATTTACTGCGAGTGTTCACCTATAATACAGCACACTTTTGAAATGGACCTTTTATGAAACACATCAAGAACTGTAGAAATGTATTCAGCGCGTTAATCTACAGCGCGGCAGCCTTTGCCACACTCTCAGAGCAGATTTCAAAACTCAGACCATCTAATGAGATAGGAAAAAAAAAAAAAAGTTATTCTTGTCCTATATTCATTCCAGTCATGTTCTATATGGAGCCCTGGGGATATTTAACATAATGCAATAGGTTTTTCAACACACACACACACACATACACACTCACACACACTCACACTGACTCACTCACGCGGTTATACTCTCACACACAAACAAAAAATACGGCTGTTCAGGCAAGTATTCCGTTTAGGACGCACTAGCCCATATTTCAACAGCCTGTGTGCAAGGCAAAGGCTGGCTCGTTCAGATACCAGAACTGTATAAATATTTAAAGATCTTGATTTAATCCAAATGAGAGATCGCTCAGGTGCTGTCCGTTACTTGCCATAACTCCTTCTTTGCTGATCAGGGGGATGACGGTTTGGAAGGCAATCTCCTGGCAACCAGAGGCACGGCCTCCGTTAGAAGCTGGCAGCTGGGATGGGGCCCGAGATGGGTGAAGCAGGTGGAATGAGGAAAAGTGGGTCAGGGTGGAGAGGGGGAAGGGGGGCAGGGAAAAGCCCCCTATGATGGCCTCCTTCGTTGGTCTTGGCCGTCCTTTGCCACTCTGATGACAGAGATGGGTTCCTCTAGCCGGGCAGCTCCGCAGTAGGGGGTCCACACCCTTCTGCTTCAAGGTCAGCTCAACTGCTCCCCTGAGCCAATGGGTATCAGCTCTAGAAGGCACGGAGCCGAGAAGAGACCTGCTCCAGATGATGGTCCCACCACCCCAGAGACAGGCCCAGGTCCTCAAAGTCCACCTGGGCCCAGAGATTATTAGGCTGGTTGTCGGGTAGCTGAACAGAAGGAAAGAGGCCAGTGAGGCAGTTCAGGAGAGAAACAAAAGAACCACACCCGGATTCTCCCTCCAATGGCAAAGCTCAGCCATCCGCTTGGCATCGCCATGCAGCAGAGATTGCATTCAGCTCCAGGCCGAGCTGGGCGTCCGCCCTCTGTGTCTTGGGGGATGGCATTCCGGAAGACCCACCACGCTGTGCTTTCTGAGGGTCTCTCCTCTCAGAGAACGGAGCTCTGGGGAAGGCTTGCCCTAGGGCCTGGCTGTTCTTACCGCACACAGGTGGGCACCTTCCTCCCACCGCTTCCAGTTTACTGACCTGGGCTTCTGGCCTCTCTCTGCTTTTCATCTTTCCTCCTGGGCTGGTGGAGACTGAAGAATGACACCTTTTTTTTTTTTTTATTGCCTCTGCTCAGATTTCTTGGACCACCTTCTTCTTCTTCTTCTTCTTCTTCTTCTTCTTCTTCTTCTTCTTCTTCTTCTTCATATTTTTATTGATTTCAGAGAGGAAGAGAGAAGGAGAGAGAGAGAAACATCAATGGTGAGAGAATCATGGACTGGCTGCTTCCTGCATGCCAGAGCACGTGCCCTGACCGGGAATTGAACTATGGCCTTTTGGTTCATAGGTTGACTCTCAACCACTGAGCCACGCTGGCTGGGCAGAGCAGTACTGATTTTAGACGCCATCCTTCAAAAAAGCAGTCCCAGGAACCTCATCTTCTTCATGAGTTCACACCTTGACCATCTCAGGATCGTTTCTACAGTGCATACACCTCTACTTCTCCAGCTCTCAGTCACTCTATCTTCCTCCAGGCTTATCTGCTCGCCTCAGAGATGGATGTGTGTGTACGATGTGTGTGTACAATGTGTGTGTACAGTGTTTCCAACAAGGCGGGTTCACAAAGGCCCTGGGTCGTCCAAGCTCTTTGGTATGAAGCACGAGGCCCTCCTCCCTCTTTTTCTCTTTCCCTCCCTCCTTCTACAGCTTTCTCCCCCCACTCCCTCCCTCCTGCCCCCTCCCTCCAAGGAGCATATTCATTCCTGGTCATATTCTGTTCTGAGTGCTCAGAGCTGAGACACAGTTCCACGACAGAGGCCCCGGGCGGTGGTCACCACGGTGAGCACCGCTTACGAGGGCGGGCGCAGCCCGGGGCCTGGCACCGAGCACAGCACACAGGGCTGGCCTCGGGCTGGAGGAGGGCGGACATGCCGCTCCGTCCAGAGGAGCCTGCGCTCCGGGCCGCTGTGCTCAGCCCCAGTCAAGCCACCAGTGGAGCGCTTGATGTTGAAACCATTTTTTGTTAGACTTGGCAACAATCTCTCTTAAAAAAATAAATAAATAAAAAGTCAGATCGCCCAGCACTGACGGACTGGCCCCGGGAACACAATGGCTCCCTGGCATGATGCAAATCCCTATTCTAGATCTGCTGCCGTTTTTCTAAATATTAGCATCAGGATTGAACAGAAATGCCTCCTGTGAGGGCCTCCCCACCCCCAAAGAATAGAAAGGTCTAGGGCCAGAGAGAGTTGATTCTTATGTTTATTATAATGCATTTAAAAATGATTTCAATTTGGAGAAAATGAGGTATAACAGGCCCCTACCTCAGAATCAAGCCTGACTGACTGACAGAAGAGAGTATTTTTTCTTCTCCCGCGCGCCCCCTTCTCTCTCTCTCTCTCTCTCTCTCTCTCTCTCTCTCTCTCTCTCTCTCTCTCTCTCTCTCTCTCTCTCTCTCTCCTCTTTTTCTCCCTCTTGGAGAGGGGTTAGGGCTGAAGCCATGCATGTCAGAGAATTTACCCAGGAGGACGGCAAACCTGCGGCAGAGTCAATTTAGTTACAAGATCAAAATCTCTTGACTCACAGGAGACAGCGTTAAAAGGCTGGGAACAGCTACAGATCTGTTAAAATCATGCCTTTGCAGCAAAATCAGATTCCGAATTGCTTTACAGCCTCGTTATTTATAAAGCCCCTTTCAACTTGGCAGTCTGTGGGCCCAGCAGCCAGGATGCTTAGGAAGCTGTGGAACAGGCACTGACTGATTCCGTGCGATGCTCCTCCCCGATCCCTGCCCCTCCTCCCAAGACCCCTCCTCTTAGGCCGGACCTAGAGGTCAAGTTCGGCTGCTCAAAAGACAAGAAGGAAGCCTGGCTGGTGTGGTTCAGGGGTTGAGCATTCACCTATGAACCAGGAGGTCACAGTTCGATTCCTGCCCTGGTTGCAGGCTTGATCCCGAGTAGGAGGTGTGCAGGAGGCAGCCAATCAATGATTCTCTCTCATCATTGATGTTTCACTCTCTCTTTCTCTCTTCCTCTCTCCACTTCTCTGAAATCAATAACAAATATATTTAACAAAAAAGACAAGGCAGAAAAGTAAAGTCCCCGAGGACTGCTTTTCAGGCATTTGCAGGACGATAGGGACTTAGAAGCCACCACTTGAAGCTCTCTCGCTAATAACAACAGCTACTGGGCACTTCCCTTGTGCCAGGCATGGTGCCAAATCTTTACGGATGGAGTCAGCAAACCATGGCCCACAGACCACGTCCACCCCACCGCCTCCCTTTGGTGCAGCCTTTGAGCTCAGAATGGTTTTGACATTTTTACATGGTTAAAGAAAAAAATCCAAAGAAGACTATTTCATGACTCATAAAAGTTATATGAAAATCAAATTGCAATGTCCCAAAGTAAAGTTTTATTGGCACACGGCCATGTCCATCCATTTGCGCATGATCTATGGCGGCTCTGGGACCACAATGGCCACGTTAAGCGGTCACAGCAGGAATTAGAGGACCCAGAAAGCCTAAAATATTTACCGCCGGGCCCTTTCTGGGAAGTTTGCTGACCCCTCACTACGTGCATTATCTCCTCCTCCCAGAAGCCTTCCAGAGCAGGGACTGTGCGTGTCCTAGTGGTAGTGGGTGGATGGGGGACAGGGGCAGAGAGAAGTCATTGTACCTATAAACTCCGCATGGTTTCCTTCCTTGAGAGTCACTTGTGATGACGGTTTCTTTGAAAAGGAGCTTCCTCCTTTGATGCCGGGCCGTGGTGTGGAGAGAGTGGGCACCAGCATGGCCACGAAGGGTTCCTGCCCAGGCCAGGAGCCCACTGTCCCTGACTAGAGTGATTCTCCGAAGTCATCACTTTTTTTTAAATTGAATTTATTGGGGTGACATTGGTGAATACAATTCTATAGGTTTCAGGTGTCCAGCTCTATAGCACTTCATGTGTGTGTGCGCCACCCCAAGCCAAGTCTCTTCCTGTCACCATCTGTCCCCCCTTTACTCTCATCCCCTCCACCCGCTCCCCTTTCCCTCTGGTCATCACCACTCTGTTGTCTGAGTCTGAGTTGTCAGTCAATCTTCAGATCCCATACTTTTATTTATTTATTTTTAATTTTTAAAATATATATTTTTATTGATTTCAGAGAGGAAGAGAGAGATAGAAACAGCAACGATGAGAGAGAATCATGGATCAGTTGCCTCCTTCACGCTTCTGATTGGGGATGGAGCCCGCAACCCAGGCATGTGCCCTTGACTGGAATTGAGCCCAGGACCCTTCGGTCCACAGGCTGACTCTCTATCCACTGAGCCAAACCGGTTAGGGCCAGATCCCATACTTTTAAACCTTCTACTGTATTTTCCTTACAGGGTTATTGTGAGACTAACAGGCAGGCAGGGTCTTGTCCGGAGGGAGTGTTGGTATCATTGTTGTTGCTACTGCTGCTTCCTTTGTGTGCTGTTCTCATGAAGTCCCTAGGTGAGGACATGGACCAGACTCAGCCTGCACCCGTGGCCTTCTCCCTCTCCACCACCCAACCAGGCAGACACAGATTCTTCGCGAGGGGTCTCTGCCTTTGCCATAAGCAAGTCCCGCACTCCCAACGCGGCACACGCTCTCTTCCCAGTCCAGGTCCCGGGAACCTGTAGAGTCTCAGGCAAGTGCCGTGATTAGAAGGAATAAACATCAGTCACCGAAGGGCTGGCGCTGCGAGGAAGCCATGTAGCACCATGTAAAGTGGGATAACACGTCGTAAATTAATGTTGTTAAAATGAATCCTTGATAGGAGTCCCAAGGAAGGCTATTTACCGCCAGCACGCCACGCGACAGGAGCAGCGTGGCAGCCAAAGCAATTTGCATCGCATGGCAGTGCTCAGGTTGGCCACTGCTGATGAATCATCCAGCGCGCTGGCTCTTCTCCAGGGGCGGCCGTGTTTGATGTTTACCTAGAAGGCAATGGAGTAGGGATGGGCTCTGTGTGCCTTGCAAATAAGGGATGACAGAGGTCAGTGGTGATGCAGGAAGCACAGCAAAGGACATCTATTTCAGTAGCCACCCTGCTCCCTGGGCTAACACTCCTGGCGTTCATCCTCTTGAATTTGGTTGGACTACCCCATCCTGGAGCTGGGAGTGAAGGGACACCGTCAAGATGTTGCATGCATCTGTTCTCTCTCCTGGCCTCACGTTTCTGATCTGATTCCTCCCAGGAGCAACGTCTACCTTTTGAGATGCTATAGGCCAACCCAGACAGCTAAGGGATGGTGCTTTTCATGAGGGCAAGTCTTGGGTAAAAATGATGTGTATCTTTTTAAAAATATCCAGTTTCCCCAAAAAAACATTGAGTCCCAAATCCCAGGGACCTCATACTCACCCTGGATGCCACTCAGAAGACAGCACCCAGTGTCGCTGATCTCTCTTTCATCAAGACCTCACATTCCCATGTACCATCTACTTCGGGTCAGAGCTTATTTGTATTATATGAAACACACTAGAGGCCCGTTGCAGAAAGATTCCTGCAAGAATAGGGCTTCCTGTGGCCTGAGCAAAGCAGAAAAGGAAGCTGAGGCGAGCTTCCCTCCCACTGCCGCCACCTCCCCGCCCTTTCACCTTTTCCCTGTGCTTTCCTTCCCACTGCCGCTGCTGTCCTCGCCCACTTTCTGCTTTCCCTCCCTCTTCCTTGTACACTATCTTCAGTCTTCACTCCATGCCTGAGTATGCAAATTAAGCACAATCTTTGTTGGGTTAATTTGCATACTCACTCTGATTGGCTGGTGGGCATAGCGGAGTGATGGTTAATTTGCATGTTTCTCTTTTATTAGTGTAGATGTCTCTTAGGAGATGCCAACTAGAAGGAGGCAACACAAAGGTGGAGGAACAGAAAGACAGTAGAGTGCTGATGAAGCTCATTTCTATATGATGTAAGGCTAAGACAGGAAATGAGGGTCTGATGGTCTCTGTTCCCACTAGCCTCTCTGTAATACACACAGATCTCTCTACTGCATGGAAGGTGTAGATATCCAGTTAAAGACGTCCAGTATTCATAGAACATGGCCCCTGAGAATTGTGAGAGTAAGGGATTGTGAGAATAATGACTTGATTTTTATCTCAAGAGACAGAATCTATACCCCACCATATGGGGGAATCCAGTTTCACATTAACAGCTTTGGAGCTCATTCTTTTAAACCTAACTTTCAGCAGACTTTGCATCTTCTGGGATTTGTATCAGGAAGAACAAATGATTCCACTTCTTCATGTTCTTTCTCCCTCATACCTTCATGAATAAGATTTTCCATGTGATCTAGACTAGGAAAGGTAGCCCATTGCTTAATTTTCATTTGGTTGAGACAAGGATTTCTCAAGCTTGAGTAATATAGAGAGTCTTTTCAGAGGACAGTAACTATCATGGACCCCAATGGGGATCTAAGTTATTTTTATTAAAATGATAATATACAAATGTAAGAGCAGACATAAATCTTTATGCTTATTATTTTAGTTAATTATGAAACCAAAACAAATTAGAAATGAAATACAAACATCATGACAGATTCATTACAATTCAGATGAAACTGTTAAACACATACGATGAATCTGGTGGATACATTTGCCTGAAATAAAATCCTCTTTGAACATGCCTGTTGTACTTCGGACTTGGGTGCAAGTTCTGCTGGGGCAGGAGACCCAAGTGCCCAACAATGCCCCAGTCCCTCTTCTCTTTCTCTTCACTTGGCATGAATTTGTCATCTCATGTGAATGTATGCACTGGATCCTCTCTGTTCTTTTCTGCCCAGCGCTTGGAGCCTGCAGGGTGGTCAATAAAAAATGCAAAGGCCCTTTCTGAAATAGAGTGGCTGAACTCAATTAGAACGTTGTCATCCAAGTGATCCACACTATGCTTCTATTGATTTTTCTTGTTTTGCTTGCGATGGAAATTGCATGTGACAATAAAGATTTCCTTTGGGGAGACTAATGTGCGTGGACCCTCAGGGGCTGTGGACTCTAGTTTGAGTGCAGTGTTCTGGACAGACTCTCCAGGTGACCCTTTCCTGGTCCTGCCTGTCACTTCCCTTTGCCTACGCACCATCGACGCATGAGCTGTGCAAAGGAGTCCTTGGGACCATCAGGAGGCCTAGGCTGTGGTCCAACTCTGGCCAACTATCCTCTCAGGTGTCTTAATCTCTAACCAGCCCAAGATAAGCCACCATCATCTCTTGTCCCAACTACAATGGCCCCCTAGCTTGCCAACCCACCCGTCCTCCTGACCCCCTCCCCCATCCATACTTCACCCTGCAGCAGAGGGTGATCTTCTTAAACTGTGAGTCAATCATGTCACTTCTTGTCTTCCTTGTTTATGACCCTTCCATTGGGGTTCCAGTTTTTAAAAAAATCTTTATTGTTGTAAGTATTACATATGTCCCCCTTTCCCCCCATTGAACCCTTCTGGTCCACCCTCCCCCTTCCTCCCAGGCCATCACCACTCTATTGTCTGTGTCCATGGGTGATGCATATATACATACAAGGTTTTTGGTTGATCTCTTAACACCCTACCACCCAGCCCCGCCTTCCCTCTGAGATTTGACAGTCTGTTATGCTTCTATGTCTCTGGATGTATTCTGTTCAACAGTTTATTTTGTGCACTAGAATCCACATATGAGTGAGATCATGTGATACTTGTCTTTCTCTGACTTCAATTTTACTTACGGTAAGAGCCAGGACATACCAAGCTGTCTGTGTCCCTGCTCCACCTCACTTCCTCTCAGAATCCAACCCCAGAGTTTCATTTTAGTCCTTCAAACTGCCCCAGCTCTTCTCTAACTCAGGCTTTCCCTCTACCCCAAGCACTCTCACTGCTTCCACCAGTCAGCTCTTCTCTCTCTGGTTGCTCATCATCCCTTAGATCTCGGCATGTATCCCCACTTTTCCAGACAGGCCTTCTCTGATGACCTAATAAGGTCAAATTCCCCCTAAAATTGCTCTTTGTCTCCGTCATTTCTTAAGCTTTATGACACCAAACACAATATAGGGGTGTGAACCTCGCCTTCTTACCTTAGTCCACATTAATAGTGAGTGACATTGTGTGGGTCTCTTTACGGCTCTAAACCAAGGACTTCCTGTTGCGTCAAACAGGGCTCTCCATTTCTGCTCTGCCTACTATTCTGAGTCCTTTACAGACTCTCATCATTGATGTTTCCATCTCTCTCTCCCGTCCCTCCTCTTTGGGTCTGTCTTCCTCCCCTGGGAGGGCAGACAATGTGTGTCCTCTCTATCTTGGAATCTCCCCACCTTTGGACAGTGCTGGCACAGAGGCCATTTTGAATTATGTAAGGAATTGAAAACCTTGCCTTAGGCTCATTTTTTGGGCATCATTTTCCTTAGCTGTAAGACAGAGAGACTGACATCTGTTTTACTCGATGTCATTCTCTCGACACAGAAAAGCCAGTTTCACAGTCAGGCTATGCCCTGTGTGCCAGGGACACAGAGTGTCTTGAAGAAGTTCAAGGCGTCTGGAGGAGAGTCAAGTGCCTGAGGCTTGGTGTCAAGAGCTGGGTAGAGGGTGTGTGGAGTGGGGGTGGACCCCTCGGGACTACCCGCTCTGGTACAAACAGCCCAGTGCCCCAGGTGCCTCTCTTCCCACTCCTGATGGCCTATTGCCTTTGATTCAGAACAGAGCGTCCTTCACCAGTGCTCGCTCAGTGATTGAGGTCACACACTAGGAATCCCTGAGTGTCTCTTTTGTTTTCCCACCTTGCCTCTTATTTACTCAGCTTCTCGTACCTCTGCTTCCCACTTTCATTCTGAAGATCCTGATGGAGATAATATAACTTGGCTCATTCATTCATTCATTCATTCAGGGAACACATAATGAGTACCTGCAATGTGTCCAGCACTGTTGTAGCTGCTTCTAAGTGATTGAGGTTTTTGTTTCTGCTGCCTGTGAGACAGTGCTGTTCTGGCCCTAGCATAGGCTCGGAGTTGGGGGTGTGAGTCTTTTTCCTGAGCCTATCTCCCTTACAGAGCTCCGTGACCCAATGACCACAGGGTGAGGTACAGAGGATACTGGACCAGGACTTAGAAACCTCGTCTTTTTTCCTTAGTCCATATTAATAGTGAGTGTGATATTGTGTGGGTCTCTTTACCACTCTAAATCAAAGACTTCCTGCTGCCAGGCTCTACATTTTTGCTCTGCCTACTCTTTTGAGTCCTTTATAGACTGAAAAAGATGCCTGGCCACCAGTATGGATTAGTGGTTGAGCATGGACACATGAACCAGAAGGTTCATGCCTGAGTTGTGGGCTGGATCCCCAGTAGGGGGCGTGCAGGAGGCAGCCAATTAAGCCTTATCTCTCATCATTGATGTTCTATCTCCTGCTAACTTCCTTTCTGAAATCAATAACATATATATTTTTTTTTTTAAAAAAAGAAAGCTAAAGGTAATGACTATGAGGGAGCTATAGAGCGAAATGCAAATATAATGAACTGAATGGCTGCAAAATGCTATGCAGAGGTAAAGAGAAGGACACTGACATTAACTACGCATTTACTGGGTGTCTGAGGCCCATGCTGGAGCGGAACCCTCACACAAAAAAACCATGTCACGGAAGAGGAAGTGGAGGTCACTCTTTCGCCTTCGTGCCAACAGTAAGCAATGAGGTCAGCTTTTGAATCAGATGTGGGCTCTTTTAAGGCCAATATTCTCCCCGCCCAGGCAGTGCCAAGCAACCCAACACTGTGCACCATTGTAGAGGCTCATTCAGCCTTGACTTAAATGCTTCCCTATGTTTGTGGTCTTATTCCTTTGAGGTCCTGACCCTGAGAACAGGTGGGATAGACCCAAGGTCAGAGCACCTTCCTAAGGATGATGTTAGATCTGTTGTCCTCCCTCCATCCACCCACAAGTGCCCCCTAAAAGCCATGGATTGCTGGCCAGGGGGACATATCTTGAAGACTCTGTCTCCTTTCTCACAAATTCTTCCCAGTCACTGTCGTGGGCTGTCAGCCTCACCAGGCCAGGCACACCTCCCTCTCTGCTGGAAACTCATCACATGGACAACTGCCTCATCAATTCCGAGATTGGATACCCATTCGGTTGGTAATGAAATAATGGGGGTCGTGGCTGCATCCACAGAGAGGGAGGCTGCAGCAATTTGGTAGCAGCTCCCACCCCGAATACCCAGAGCTTCATCTGTATTCATTCCCCCCGGTGCCGTGATGGCTCCCGCGGACTCGAGTTATCTCAGCCTCAAAGCTAATAGAGTTAAACCAGCTGGTCAATTTAAACAGGAGCAGAACCAGTGAGATGGTACTGTATTCTGAGATGGTGCTAATAAACTTTAATAGATTTCAGCTAACAATTTGCTATAAATTAGACATCGCACTGCTGCTGAGGTAATAACTTCTGGCACTAAATAACAGAAAATCAAGCTCTGTGATGTGCTTCAAAAGCATCTTCATCGAGCCTCCGAGACTCAGGCAGATTTCACTATTGATTACTGCTTACTCTTCCCCCAGCTTTAAGAAAACAGCAGACTGCTCTAAAACACAGCCCCAAAGGAGCCCAGAGTTTTTCTCCCACTGGCTCGATAGTTCATTTACATGAAAAGCTCTTTGAAATAAAAAATGGGGGCCCTCCAATGGGTAAGTCAGGAGCTGAAAGGTCTCAAAGGCATGCAAACACTTGTTCAGGCTTTTCTGGAATCTTCCCGAATGTTCACCTGTGTTATTCATTTCCATTCTATTTTTTTTTTTTAAACAGTGGCTAATTGGTAATTAGCAAGGTCTGTAATTAGCTTGGGTTAGGCACCATAGTCAACTGGGTGAAGAGCAAGGTCTGGACTTGGCTTTAGGAGAAGGTATTCAAGTCCCCAGCTTAGCACTCATTACCCATGTGACCTTGGGCAAGGCCTTTGACTTTCCTAAACCTCAGTTTCCTCAACCTGCCTGCCTGAGAGGGCTGTTGGGAGGTGGAAGGAAAGGTGAGAATCCTCGTGAGCATGTGTCGTAGGCTATCCAAATACAAGTTGTGAAATCCAATAGGCCATGTGACTGTATGCTGGCTTCTGAAGAGTAGAGATGCTATCATGCCCCTCAGCAATGGCCACACTGTTCCTTGTTAGGCACATTGGTCCTGACCCACAGGTTCTGGCCCCCTCCCTCTTCTATCTCCACTCTAGAACCTTCCCTGACTTGGACCCAACACTTCTGTCCTCACAGGGATCAGGCTATCGGACCAAGAACAGACCTCTGCATGGAGGTCATAGTTATTGTAACATGGACCGTATTTCACTGCAGCTAGGACACACATTTTTTTCTCTCCCCCAGTTTCACATTTCTGGGTCGGGGTGCATCTCTCCGTCATCGTCAGGTTAGAGCTGAATGAGCAGTTCCTTTTTCTCTCTCTTAGGGGCACAGAGGAATGTTGCATCTTACTGTCCATGTAATGGGTTATGGAACCACCCATGTGAGGCATGTCAGCTCTCCCAGCCTTCATGTCCCCACAGCAAAGTGACTGTGGTAATAGCACTTACCTTATGGGGCGATAGCAAGAATGAAATGGGCTCCCAACACATTTAAACCGTGTGCCATAATGCCTAACACGTGGCAAGCACTCAATAAACGCCAGCCATTATTATTTTATGATGACTTTCAAAGGTGGCAGTAGATAGTAAAGGGAGTGTCCTGAGGAATTAACTACCTATTTTTATGCCAATACTACCATGACAACTGGCTACTAAGTTATTTGAAACTTCTCAATACGCTATTGCTGCCAGCCATAGACTCCAAAGGTAGAAGCATGAATTTTACAATTACACACTGTGAGAGAGGACCATGAGAGGGCCCCAGTCTCTGCTGCACCCAGAGGTGCCCCTGGAATGTTGTCCCACACAACAGTCTGCATCTGTGCACCTTGGTTCCTGTTTGGAGAAAGGGAACTGAGTATCTGAGGTTCAGGGAAAGGGGGGTGATTTTCCAAGCCTATCCATGTGTAAGTGGCACCCTTTGCAGGTACTAGCTATTCAAATAATATATATATATATATATATATATATATATATATATATTTTTTTTTTTTTTTTTTTTTTAACAAAAGATCTGAGGTCCTACTTTGAGTTCATGATAAAATACTAAATACATTGTAATCAGTCAGTAGGCTCTGCCCCTGGCCCTGTACAAGGCGGTGTCTGCCTGCACACGGGCTGTGCGTTCTCTGGACTCCCGTCATGATATTCATAATTTATGCCTCCTGGGGAGACAGCTTCTTCCTTTCAGGGAGAAGGTCCCAGGGCAGTTGTCAGTGCTTTCACATTTCTCATCTTCCTCAATGTGCGTCATGGCTACGTGAGGGTCAGCAAATGGGTTTTCGTAACTTCTCAACTTTAAGAGGGAGAACTATAGACACACCCAAGGGGATGGTCTTTGTGTCTGACCTCACTCCCTCCTGTGGCCGCCATTGAAAAGGGGGTGGCATCCTTTTTGTCTCCCCTGTTTTCCCAGAGCCACTTCTTTCCCCCTCGGGCAGGACTTAGATAGCAGTTGGGTGGCCCCTCCGCGTTCGGGAGCTCGTTCCCAGCAGAGGTTCAGACAGAAGAGAAGCACAGGTGTGGAGGCTCAGCAGGAGCCCATGCTGACGCTCCCGCCTGGGAAAACGGCCCTCCACAAACACATTTGTTGCTCGGATGCTATCAGTTGGCTATCTCCCCATGTGCCCATCTGCTGAGATGGCAGTGTGCCTGGTCCCGGGCCCTAAAGCCAGCTCCATTAAACTGAGGTGCCAATCACCAGCCTGCCTGCTGCAGGAGACTTCACCTTCTGGGGACCCTCCTCTCCCCTCCCCTGGAGAATACTGAGACCTCAGGCATGCTTCTGACTTTTCCACCTGCTTCCCGGCTGATCCCCACTTGGGATGAAGAAGATTTGTCCTCGGGAGAATGAGGCCCTGTTCTGGGCAAGAGGAGGAGTGATGACATTGGGGTGCGCATGAATTGAAAGGGGTCCCGCCTGCCTGCGCGAGGGGCAGAGGGGGACGTAAATGTAATTAGAACCACATTCCTTCAATTGAATCTCATGTGTGTGCGTATGTGTGCACCCCAAAAGTACTAAATTAATCCACACCATCAGCAATAAATCAAACGTCTGTATTCCCTTCCCTTGCTCCAAAATGGGTGTGAAGGGACAGAGAAAATGCCAAGTGTCTATGCAACCTGCTAACAAGGGCCCATTCTCATGCCCTGAGGCCCCAGGAGGCAGCTGGTGGGGAGGAGGAGGAGGATTAGCTGTGGTCTGTGGATGGCATGATGTCAGGCACCTAGGAGGCACTCAGACAAAGCTGCTGAAGGAAGGAATGACTAGTAGAGGTTCCCACACATATTTTATTGTGTTGATGAAACATGAAAGTGCAATTGTTTACATGGGGTGCTGAGCGCCCACTTTATGCCAGGCACCATCGGAGGCTATTGAGAGACAGCGACAAGCGAGATAGACAAGAGCCCTCGTCCCATAGAGCTTATCTTCCATCAGGGAACAGACACAAGCAAACAATGAAGGCACAATGAAAACGGCAGGTAGGGCTCCATAACTTTTGATCCCTTCTTTTGCTTCTATGAAAAGTAGCATGATGGAGAAGGCTTGCAAGCATACATACAGTAAGGCATGTTCACCTGTGTTTTTTGGGTGGTTTCCAAGGAACCTCCCCTTCAGAGACACGTGCTCATGTGTATAAACATACAAACACACACCATCCTCCTAGGTTTGAAATTTCCCTTTAATATTCTTTCTTTCTTTCTTTCTTTCTTTCTTTCTTTCTTTCTTTCTTTCTTTCTTTCTTTCCTTCTTTCCTTCCTTCCTTCCTTCCTTCCTTCTCTCCTCTCCTTCTTCCTTCCTTCCTTCCTTCCTTCCTTCCTTCCTTCCTCCTTCCTTCCTTCCTTCCTTCCTTCCTTCCTTCCTTCCTTCCTTCCTTCCTTCCTTCCTTCCTTTCTTTCTTTCTTCCTTTCTATATAAAATCTACAAGAGAAAGACCCATGTGATCTGTCTGGGATCAAGGATCCAGAGAGATCTGTTTGTTTGGAGCCACTGTACCTCAAAGCAGGACATCTGAGCATTTCTTTGCAGTCCCCAAACTGGTGACTGACTCGGGCTGCCTCTGGGAAAGTGTCATGGCTGCTGGGTTGTGCAGCCCTCTATACACAACCTAGAAAGTCACAGAGATGACGGATGGCTATGATAGAAGCAGGGTATGTGAAAGCTGGACACTGGAGAGATTCCACAATGGGAGATGGGTTGTACTCTACTTTCTCTACGATCTCAGAGAGTCTGTGATTCCTGGAACATTCCAGAGCTCTGACCTGCGTGGGCTCAGGAGTTGAAGGGTGGTGGGACTTCTAGTTTGTCCACTTGGTTGAAGTCACATGGGTGTCAGAGAGAGAATACTGCCTATGATTGAAGGGCTTCACTCAGGAAAACGTAAGAGTCTGTGAGATGAAGACCGAGTCTCCTCTCTAGCACATTTAGACCACTCTGATATGTCTAATACCCAAGGCACAGCACCTAAGTAGCCCGTTAGTGTGTTGCCATGGTTACAATCTCCAATGATGACCAGCAGGATTAAGAAGACAATGTCTGTGAACCACCACGTGGCTGGCGAGTGAGGGCCCCTGGAGAGAGAGGAGGAGCTGGAATGGGGGCTGCTCCCAATGTGCTGAGCTGGAACAGATTCTGTGCCCCAGGCCGTCTGTTGTGTGGATGGTGACTGGGGTCCCTCTCTCATTGATGTTCCTATCCCTCTCCCTTCCTTTCTTTCTACAAATAAATAAATAAATAAATGAATAAATAAAATAAAATCAGTAAAACATTTTTTTAAAAGAAAAAGTCAGGGCCCCTAAGAAGAAATGTGCATTAGAGAGAAATGATGAGCAGAGAAAATGGTTTGGGTTTCCAATATATTTACCCAGAAGGAGAAGCGGAAGTGTTGAGCTCAAAGCATAGAGGGTGGATTCCAGAGAACAGAAATGCACGCTCTGTTTTTTCCTTCCTGGGCTTCTCCATTTACTTCCCTGCCATTTTCCTAATTACTTCCAGCAGAGCAATCAATACAGCGTTATCAACAGTAGGGACAAGTTAATTAAGATGAGCAAATTAATCAGGTAATTAAGTGGCCTTCCCTGAGAAGGTGAGCCTGTTGAGGTGTTAATGGCGTTAGGTCACAGCAGTTGTCTTATGTGGGCTTTTAGGAATTATGGTGACTGTGGCTCATGCCAGACTGAGCCAAAAGTGACTGATCTTCCTCACCCCTGGGCACACGATTTCTCTGGTCCTATCCACAATAAGTCCACATTCCAATACAACCTTCTAGCACCTTGACCTCACTCTCACTGTATGAGTCTTGTGTCAGTGGTGGACATAATAGTTATTAACTCATACTTACAACAAAACAAAAAGTAAACTGTCGCCGTGGCCATTGCTAAGTGGTTAGAGCGCCAGTCTGTGGACCAAAGGGGTTCAGGTTCGATTCCCCATCAAGGCACATACGTAGGTTGTAGTCTCGATCCCAGCCCTGCTCAGAGCAGGAGGCAACCAATGGGTGTGTCTCTCTCACATCGATATTTCTCACCCTCTCCTCCCTCTCTTCCTCTACTTCCTCCCTCCCATTCTCTCTCTAAAAGTCAATGGGAAAATATCGTCCAGTGAGGCTTAAAGAAAACACAAGAACAATATCAATCTTCAAGGAGCACCGCCATTTCTAGAATCTTCTGAAATGAAGGGAGGGTGGGACCTAATTATGAGAAAAATAAAGCACTTGATGGTTGATAGAGGGCCAGATTTTTTTTCTTCTTTTTTTTCTACAACACCCGGGCTTCAGCTCAGGCCCCTGACTTCTGCTCCCCTTTCCCGATGAGGGAGCAAACCCGTCCATCCTCCAATCTGAAAGAAAACCGTGAGAGGGGAACGCCGGCAGCAGAACACGGCTGTGTGCTGTGAACACGGGCACTGGTGAGGTCCGAGCCGCCGCGGGGATGGGGAAATACATAGATTCTGTCAGAGGCAGTAAAAGTCGTCTGCAGTTCAGTTTTTACCCAAGCCCTCAAATCTGTTGTTTGGTTTCGAGCAGATGTTGAAAGGGCTTACCCTGGATTCCGTCTCTATTGATAGGGTGTCTTTTGATCTGCAGCCAACGGAGAAATCTGGAGTTATTTTGGATTTGGAAATTTCCTTTAAATAAACATATTAGTTAAGTATGTAAATCTGCTTATCATCACTTCGGACATGTTGCCCGAGTGAAAAACATCTGTGGCCAGGGTGTCGGCCGACGTATTAATCCACATTCAGAAGACTCTTCACCCAGGTGATGGCTGAGTCACGTGGTTGTGATGGGTACAATAGCTAACGCTTCTGGATTGTGGAACATGTGCCAAACCCTGAGCTTTTGTGCAAGATCTTGTTGAATGTTGTCCTTCCCACCAATAGGCGGGTCAATGGAGGACGAGGGAGCGGAAGTCATTTTCCAAGTCACGTGACTGTGAATAGTGGAGCTGAGACCCAAACCCTGAATATGTCTGACTTCAGGGCATGTGATCTCAGTTCTCCTGTGCTCCTTAACCACATCTTCACACGCCTCTGGCTGGCCTTGGGCCAGTGCTATTCCCCCCTCCCTTTTCTTCGTGGCCTGGGCTGCAGTAGGGCCTCCTCCCATCGGAGACCCAGGAACGGATCATCCTGACTGACCCCCCTCCATTGCCATGAGCACACAGGGAAGCCCAGGCAGGGGGAGGCGCTGTGGGCCCTCAGGCACAAACAACAGAGTGCCTGCTCTGGGATGGAGTGTGGGCCAGGCTGGCGTCACTGAGGTTTTCATCCCAAATACCACTTTGGTTATAATCTTCCCCTTCATGGGTGGAGAAGTTTAAAAACAAAACAAAACAGGTGGGTGACTCCTCAAGCCCCCATGATTCTAAAACTGTGGGCCCTTTCATTCTTTGTTTTATCCCAAAATTATGCTTTCTGGACCAACATAATTACCTTTTCCTTCCCTCACTCTATCTCTTCTTATTTCCCTTTTGTCCCGCTCCCCCAACCCCTCTCCTGCATCTGGCCACTCCATCCTCCATGTTCCCTCCCTCCCCCTCTGCCTTCCATTCATTGAGTAAATATTTTTTACTAGAGGCCCAGTGCACAAAGATTCGTGCAAGAATGGGCTTCCTTCCCCTGGCTTCCCGCACCACCTTTGCTCTGGCCCAGAGCCACCTTTCTGCCTTCCCATGTTGCCCAGAGGCACAGAGCAGCTGGGGAGGCATGGAAAGCCTTCATTGTTGCCATAGTGCTGCCACCAGCATCCTGCCCCTGGACACTCAGTGCCTTTGTATGCAAATTAGACTGCCATCTTTGTTGGGTTAATTTGCATATTCACTCCTGATTGGTTGGTGGGTGTCGCGAAGATACGGTCCATTTGCATCTTTTTCATTTATTAGTGTAGCTGTACCTACTTGTCACCAGATACAGAATAGTAACCAAGACAGTCCATGTTTCTCCCTTTGTGGTGCTTACCTTGTTTTTCCACAGCAAAGTAAAAGTCACGATTTCTGTAAAAACATTGCTCACATGAAGAAGGGCGAGAATCTCAGAGTCATTTCACAGTGTGGGTGTGAGGAAATTCTGCTAAGCTCTCCAGCAAAGGGACTGCTTCCCAGATACCAAGCATGTGGGCGTCAAATCCCAGCCATGCACGGAATATAGACAGCTGCGTGTTTTGGAACATTGGGGGCTCCCCTGAAATAATGAAACCCATGCGTTTTATTTTATTTTATTTTAAAATATATTTTATTGATTTTTTTACAGAGAAGAAGGGAGAGGGATAGAGAGCTAGAAACATTGATGAGAGAGAAACATCCATCAGCTGCCTCCTGCACATCTCCAACTGGGGATGTGCCCGCAACCAAGGCACATGCCTCTGACCAGAATCAAACCTAAGACCTTTCAGTCCGCAGGCTGATGCTCTATGCACTGAGCCAAACCGGTTTCGGCGAAACCCATGCATTTTAAATGCATGAATGCCTAGGGTTTGTTGCAGGGGTGACGAATACATGGCGCAAGTCCTGTGCCCCTTCTAGTCCAAGCCAATGGCAGACATTGCTAGTCGATTGCAGCACTCTTTGCCACAAAACTCCATGCAACTTTCAAATCTTTGCCAATACAATGCTCCTACTAAACCATTGAAATTGCATTGGTGATGAACCCATTTGCCACCCCTAGAATGCTGTAAACCAACTGTTTTTATTTTTAATTTTTAAAAAATATATTTTTATTGATTTCAGAGAGGAAGGCGGAGAGCAGGAGAGAGAGAGAGAGAGAGAGAGAGAGAGAGAGAGAGAGAGAGAGAGAGAGACATC